GTAACACTAACCTCAAATATCCAAAATTTGTTTGACTCTGCAAGCATGTAGAGTGATTTTTGTTGCTAGTACACACCTAAGCCACAAACTCTGGGTGTCCTGACTATGGGTAGATGTTAGTCTCAGGCAACCACAATTAGGGCTTACTTAATAAAGTGTTGGGGCATTCCCTCCAGGCTAGCTGCTCCAAGCAAATGCCTTATTTGGCTCTGCCAAAGGCAATGGTCAGGTCTGAAAAGACCTGGAAAAGAAAGAACTGCTTGAAATCCATGGTTCTATCACTCTTCTTTCTCTGATCTTGCCCCTTTCACTTCTTGATGCCCCCGATTTTCATAATCTGTACATCAGTTTCCTCATTGTTTACTCTTAGAGCTTAATATGAGTATCTATTTTATAATATCTCAAAAACATAAAATCTAAACACTGCTGATATTGAGGGTTTAGGAAAACAAATTAATAGCAATGATTGTGATGGTAAATATCTTGATTTACTTCAAAAATGTATTTCTCCATTTGTGAGTACTACTGCAGTAAGTTATTTTCATATAAAATTGAATGTTATTCCTGGCCGAGTAGAAAAAGGTTGCTCATTGAAGAGGTCAAGAGCAATATTTTGTGGTTAAGACTGATGTTAGTTTAGTGCAGTTCATTCATTTTTATTGCTATTGTTGTGTTATGTAAATAAAATTGGCCTTTCTCGTCTCCGTGGGTTTAATTAAATTTGAAATTGGGGAAGGGCAGAAATGTTTATCAGTTTTAAAGATATTAAAAATGTGTTCTAACAATTTAAAGTTACAAAGAATTGCAGCCTGTTTAAAGTTAAGATATTAAAATAACCAACCACTTTAATCAACCACTACAGCATTAACATTCAATCTACTAAAAACATTCAATAAAACTGTATATCCTACATAAAATTATTGCATGTCAGCATTGCTGCATAACATGAAATGGCCAATGAAATGACTTTCACTTAATGGAAGGTCAAAAAATTCAGATTTTTGGGTAGGATACAGATAGGGTTTATGGTCAGCTCTATTATCTGAAATAATCTCAGGTAACATGAGATAATGGTCATTTTGCTATTTAAAATCTTTCTATTAGAGATATTTTGGTTTTCAACTAATTAAAATCCTAATTTTATTTAGAGTGCTTTTCAGAGTTAAGTAATTTACCCTCCCAGAATATGTAGTTTCTACCCAGGAAAGGATAACAGTGTAAATTTTTTTTTGTTTTTTTCCCACTTAAGCACCAGTATAGTGGCATCTGTGTTCTATAGTCAGTACTTATATATTAAATCTAGTTCATTCATTGCAGATTATGTGCCTCCCTTTCTAATTGCAGATTTGTGCATAGTGAAAAGTCATTATTTATAATCTTTGGCCAATTTAGTTAGGGCATTAGTTAAATCTTTATTCTCTCATAATATGGGGAAATAATTATAATAGAAGCAAGAAATGCCAATGTAAAAATAGGGGCATTTCATTGTATTTTTTTACATGAACAAAGGAATTTAAAAATAGTTTTAGTGTGGATTAACTTGTATTGCAGTATACAGCTAAGAATGGAGTTTACATTGGGACCAAAATGTGGAAATTCCATAAGTACTAACAGAGGAATAATCATGCCTAGTTGATTATTCAAATTTGACTTAATCAGTATTTTTGTCTATTTGTACAAAACTGAAAAGACAGTCGGTCATATCAATTACGGTATAAATAATGATCAGTATCTGCACAGTACAGCCAGTAAAATCTATTGTTTCAGTTCAAATGAGCTAGAGATTTGTAATCCAAGTAATAAGAACTATCTTTCATTATAGCTTAATATCTATCATTTATTTTCTTTTTTTAAAAAGCCTATGTTTAAATAAGCAATTTTCATATTATTTAAAGTAAAGGAACAAAGTCTAGAATTAAAAAAAAAAGAAACAGCTGCCCATCTGTCCCAACCCCACATAATTGTTCAAATTGCCAAACTGGAATCTAAGACCTTATTCCAGTAAATGTGGGACACTGCATTTGCAAATGGCTAAAAAAAATCATACTGGTATTTTAGTAGCTTTTTATATTGCCTCCCTCCTAGATAAAATATAGTATTCTTTTCTTTTAAAAAGGGTACCTTACTATGTCACATGATTGATTGCCATGGAAGTATTTTTTTTTTAAAGACATATCTAACAACACAGAATAGCAGATTGCATAGATGGCATTTTTATTATTGTCCTTTATAGCATAAAACTTGTTTAGTATATTTAAAAAATGGGCATTGTGTATTTTAAGCAGTATAGTGTTGCAAAGGCTGGTAGAAAATAGGCAAGTCTCAGTTGTCTTTTGAATAAAGTAATAATATGGCTACCAGAAAGGTTGTGAAAATGCCTGGTATAAATTCTAGTCTCAGGTCATGTGACTGAGTCTAAAATGAGCAAAGGAAAATCCCTTCCATGTTAACATGCTTCAGCTTCAAACATCCTGAACAGACAAATTCACCTTGCTGGAATATCTCATGTATGCGATTTTATAAACAGGGAGAATTACAGAGACCAGGCCCCAACTCAGAGATAAAGTGTTCAGGATATAATTCCAATATCTTGCAGGTACATGTGAATGACTCACTATTCAGCATGCATATAAAATGACTACATGTAAAAAGGCCTATAACCATGGTAATTGTCGGGATAAATGAATACTGAATGTAAACAATTGTCACTATGACATGTTTTACACTACCTACATGCTAAAAATTCTTTTGTGTCAATAATTTGCATAACATGCTTAGACAAGCATATGTTGTCCCTCAATTTCTTGAAAGACCCAAGTTAACAGTGAAGCAAGAAATGTATTCATATTTCATTATATACAGTTAGTATTGACAAAAGATGATCCCACACTAAAAAGATAAAAATAAGGAATTCAGGGATCTGGAAACAGCTCAACACCAGCAGCAGACACTTATTTATTGCAATTTTAGGACTTTTCTTTATTATGAATATCGTTCATTGCTATTTCTTTAAAGATTATCCAAGTCCAAATATTCAAAACATATTTTGAATATTTAATGTGACAGTATTCATTAACTATTTAATCTGAATGATTTAAGTTTAATAATACAAGTATCTATAACCTGTATAATTGTTTTCTAACATACATATTAAAGCCAGTTGTTAAATCTGAAGAAAAATTAAGCTTCTGCAGTCCTTGCATATTTTTTAATAGCTATTTATCAATTTATTAATATAGTTGATTTAAACATCTGTCCTGGTGATCCCCACTCCTGAAGATATGTGTGTGTGTGTATATATGTATATATATATATATATATATATATATATATATATATATATATATATAAACTGGAAGTCTTATGAGTCCAAAAGTTTACATATATAAACTGGAAGGCTTATGGGTCCAAAGAGCTGCATATATATTTTATTTTTATTAATTATTTAGTATTCAGTGGACATTGGATTACAACAATGTACATAATTCATAGGACTAGAATCACCTCTCTTTGGATATATGTTACTATACTACATCTACCACCAAGGCCCCAACTGTCCTCCACCATAATCCATTGTGTCCCCTCCTCAATCTCTCCCCCTGCTTTCCTCTTCTTGTAATTTCAATTCCAGTCAGATTTCTAGGGTTTGCCTAACACTTTGTTTTATTTCTTTATATTCCACATATAAATGACAGTATCAGGTATTTGTCTTTCTTCTTCTGACTTATTTCACTTAACATAATCCCCTCCAGTTCCATATGTTATGAAATGCCAAGAGTTGATTTTTTTCATAGCTGAGTAGTATTCCATCATGTAATCTATTTATCTGTATTAGGGGATCTAAATGGTTCCCATAACTTGGCTATTGTGAATAGTGCTGCAATGAACATTAGGGTGCAAATATACCTTCTAATTAGTTTTTTTTTAATTATTTGGGTGGATACCTAGGAGTGGAATTGGCTGCATATATTTTTATACCTCACCTATCATGTACTTTTAATCCAAATGTCATAGTCGAAAAAGTAAGCATCTTAATTTAACATATATCTAATCTTATCACTTAATGTTTTTCAAAATGAAAATTTTTGCACAGCAGCTTGGTTAGCTGTGCTGCACTGAAGTCATCACATTGTCCTGAAATTAACACAGAGACCTTATGTGCTTAGCTGATTCATGAACAATAGAAGTGCAGCATATACCATTTTCTTAGTTTCATTGTTTGCTTAAATTATAAAAGTGCCATTTATCAACATTAGTTTGTAATTGTATAACTTCAGTAGAAGGGTAAGATTTTTATCAGAAAGATTTTTATCAGAAAGAGTTACATCAGTGTCATAAAAACAATAAAATATTATGGAGATGACACGATACCTTATTTTTGAAAGGTATTTTTATGTAATCACTTGAGAAATAAGTAATAATTTAGAGTTGGGTAGTCTTGTGTTTCATAATTTTTTCCCCTTGGATATATACACCTGACTTCTAACCTGCATAGATTTTCTGTCAGATAAACTCTGTTGTAAAAAAATTATAATGCAGGTAATGTATATCAAGGATGTAGGTGTATAAAACACAGTAGGTTTTAAATAAATATCTGTTTTTCTCCCTTTCATCAATTCATGTTTATTTTGAATTTATAACTGTGACAGTCATAATTTTTGCCTTCAGTAGTCCCAAATTTTGAATGAATTCCCCACCTTTTAAAATGAAATCTTTGGCAGTGAACTAAGATTCCTCAGTAAAGTTATCTTTTTCTAAATGAGAAGAGTCATCTAAATAAATAAAATCAATGATTCTGCTTTTTCTGTCCATTTTGAAGTGAGCAACAACTCCCTCTTCCAATGCCACCTCTTTCCATACTCTACTAAGATCACTTGTAAGAATTAAATTGCTCTTCTGGGGGCAGGAGGCCAAGATGAGATTCACAGAATTGAATCATAAGCTAGGGAAGAAAAGTTATTTTTCAATAGCTGTTCTCAAACAGCCAAAAGAGATCTTACCTGGTTCATATCTTAGGCCACGATCAATCCATCCTCTGCACTTGTATTAAACCAACAGGTGTCATCCCTAGGAAGCATATTGGTGGTGCTAGCTGCTCCTGCAAAGCTGCAGAAAAATCAGTGGGGATACTTTTTGGGAACCTACTATTTTACTTCATTATCATTTTTTCTTAATAAGAAAAAAGAGGAAATATTCTTTATAATAGATTAAGCCCAATTATTTTCCTTATTTTCCTTAGCAGACAGAGAAACTAACTAGTGGGACTGAAGTGATTAGCTTCTTTTGAAGATCAGCTTTCATGTGGTGGATCAAACATTACATTAAGAGTAAGGTTTCTGGGTTCTGGTTTCATTACTGCTCTACCTACTTATTTCAAGGCCAGTTGTTTACACCGTAAAATGTAGAAACTAGTATTTTTAATTGTCCAGATTAGTATGTTACAAAGAATGCATTAAAAATAGCATGAGATATTATATTAACAATCAGTTTCTTTCAACCTTAATATTAAAGAAATTCACATATATCATATACATTCTCCACAAACACACAGACACACACATACACACACTGCACCTCCTTTTGTTTCACTACTAATAAAATGCTATAGCTGTCTTTTCAAGTCATTACATGCTACTTCAGTTTTATTTTTAGTATTTTGTAATAGACGTACTATAATTTAATTAATTAGTCCCATATGAATGACTGTAGAGACTATCTTAAATTATTCCTTACTATAAATAATACTGAAATAACAGTAGTATATCATTTTGGTTTTTTTTTTGCTTTTTTTTTGTCATTTTAGCAAAACAAAATTTTGATGCAACGAAATGTGTCCAATTTTCTTTTATTGTTTCCAATTTTTATGACATAGTTAGAAAGATTTTCCATGGAGTCAGTTTATAAATATTCTAAACATTGCTTTCCATGAAAAAAATTTTGATGGAAGCTGAATTATTATTATTTATATTCTAATTTTTATTGCTGGTAAGTGTAAGAAATGAGGTAGAGATCCAGTTATATTTTTCCCAAATAGCTAGTTAGTTATCCCAATATCAGTATTGAATACTCTAATTTCCACAATAATTTGAATATTTTCTTATATATTATTGAATTTATTTCGAAATTGTATATTATATTCATTTAATTTTTTCCATGCTAACATTTGCCCTGTCATCACACTTTTTAAACTACCATGGGTGTTGTGAATAAAATAATTTTTTTTATCATTGATAGCAGAATGATTTAGAGGTATTGCTTCGTTGTTTACAAAGTTTGAACAGTGTCCGAAAAAACAGAAATGGAAACAAGGAAAGAGGTAAAAAATGAAGGATGAAGCATTGCAGTTTCAAAGGTGTTGGAAATCACAGGAAGAAACATGACTTGTAGTTTCCCATATTCTTCCGTGTATATTTATCTTAGAGTGAAGAAGGGATATGGTTGGATTATTTCAGCACTTGAATTTATTTATTTTTTTTATTAGATAATAAATTTTATTGTTATATTCCCCATACAATTGCAGCCCCCCCATTCTGACCCCAATCCCTCCCCTCCAGCCCCTGCCCCCCTAAAAGTGTCTCTGGTTCATAGTTTTTTGCTGATTTTGATTTTCACTTTCTTATAGTTATTCATTTTCCTGGTCCCTTATTTAAGTTTTCTAGATTCCTTCTATGAGTGAGACCATCCGGTATTTTTCTTTTTCCTTTTGGCTTATTTCGCTGAGCATGATCCCTTCCAGCGTCATCCATGTTGCTGCAAATTGCATGTGTTTATCTTTTTTGAATGCTGAGTAATATTCCATGGTATATATGTACCACATCTTCTTGATCCAGTCATCTATTTTTGGGCATTTGGGTTGTTTCCAAAGCTTAGCTATTGTAAACAGTGCTGCTATAAACATAGGAGTGCAGGTGTTCTTTGGAATTGATGTTTCTGTGTCCTTTGGGTAAATTCCTAGGAGTGGAATTGCTGGATCATATGGAAGCTCTATGTTTAGTAGGTCCAGAAATCTCCACACAGCTTTCCACAGTGGTTGGACCAGTTTGCACTCCCACCAACAGTGCAGAAGAGTTCCTTTTTCTCCACACCCTCGCCAGCATTTGTTGTTGCTAGTTTTTTTAATATGTGCCATTCTCACTGGTGTAAGATGGTATCTCATGGTAGTTTTGATTTGCATTTCCCTGATTACAAGTGATGTTGAACATTTTTTCATATGCCTGTTGGCCATTTGCATTTCCTCTTCTGAGAAGTTTCTTTTTAGCTCTTCTGCCCATTTTTTGACTGGATTATTTTCTTTGTTGTTGTTGAGTCTCATCAGCTCTTTGCAGATTTTTGTGATCAGTCCTTTATCATTAGTGTTGGGTGCAAAAATGTTCTCCCAGTTGGTGGGGTTTCTCTTTGTTTTTGTTATTGTCTCTTTTGCTGTGCAGAAGCTCTTTAATTTGATGTAGTCCCATCTATTTATCTTCGCCTTCACTATCACTGCTTTGGGTGATGTGTCTGTAAAGATGTCTTTGATGTGCAAATCACGTAGTGTTTCGCCTATATTTCCTTCTATATATTTTATGGTTTCAGGTCTTATGTCTAGTTCTTTAATCCATTTTGAGTTGATTTTTGTGTATGGTGTGAGGTAGTGGTCAAGCTTCATTCTTTTGCATGTAGCGACCCAGTTTTCCCAGCACCATTTATTGAACAAACTTTCTTTGCTCCAATGCATAGTCTTTGCTCCTTTGTCAAAGATTAGTTGACCATAAATCTGTGGGTTTATTTCTGGATTTTCTATTCGATTCCATTGGTCTGTATGTCTGTTCTTGTTCCAATACCATGCAGTTTTGATGATTATGGCTTTGTAGTATAGGTTGAAGTCTGGGAGTGTGATGCCTCCATTCCCTTCTTTTTTTTTCAGGAGAGCTTTGGCTATTCGGGGTTTTTTGTGATTCCATATGAATTTCATCAATAATTGTTCTATTTCTTTGAAGAATGACATTGAAATTTTGATTGGAATAGCATTGAATCTGTATATTGCTTTTGGAAGGATGGCCATTTTAATAATGTTTATTCTTCCAATCCATGAGCAGGGGATGTCTCTCCATTTCTTTGTGTCTTCTTCTATTTCTTTTAACAGTGTTTTATAGTTTTCTTTGTATAGGTCTTTTACCTCTTTTGTTAGATTTATTCCCAAATATTTGATTTTTTTTGTTTCAATAACGAAAGGGATGGTTTTTTTGATTTCTTCTTCTTCAGATTTATTGTTTGTGTATAGGAAGGCTACTGACTTTTGCGTGTTGATTTTGTATCCTGCCACTTTACTGAACTGATTGATGAGTTGAATTAGCTTTTCTGTGGAGTTTTTGGGGTTCTCTATGTATAATATCATATCGTCTGCAAATAGTGATAGTTTGACTTCTTCTTTTCCTATTTGGATTCCTTGGATGTCTTTCTCTTGTCTTATTGCCCTGGCTAGGACTTCCAGTATTATATTGAAAAGCAGTGGTGAGAGTGGACATCCTTGTCTTGTTCCAGATCTTAATGGAATTGCTTTCAGCTTTTCACCATTGAGAATGATACTGGCTGTTGGCTTGTCATAGATGGCCTTTATGATGTTAAGGTATGTTCCTTGTATCCCAAGAATTTCAAGGGCTTTTATCATGAATGGGTGTTTCAGCACTTGAATTTAAATGGTGATTGTTAGGGAAGGTGAGAATGATAAGGGCTCTAAGGCACTAATAAATGGGTGGGTCAAATTATGACCTAAGAAGCTCAAGCTAGCTGCCTAAAGCAATAAAACCAGGAGAACATGGATCAATTGAGAAAAGAAGAAAAATATTGATGAAATTGTAGATGTTGATGAGATTCAAGAGTATGTTTAATGTAGTTCAGAGAGTAAAAGAACTGAGCAGGTTGAAGCATGCTTATAGTGAGCATATTGAAGTTTACATGGCAGAGACAGGTATAAGGAAGCCGGTATTCTTTCTTCTTGTGCTGCTTATTTTTATACAGGAAAAATCACCAATGAGGTTTCATACAAGTTGGATAAAATGAGGAAATAAAAACTTTATTGGCAGAGAAAATGTAAAATTCTTCTGTAATGAGGCAGGAAAAAAAGTTTAAAAAGAAAGAGAGGCAAACTATATATTTTTTAAAAAATGAAGTATTCTCATTTGGGGTGAGAGACAATGTACTTCATAGAAAAGCAGAAATGGCAAGCATTTTGGAAAAAAAAAGAAAGTGGATGTGATCTAAAATATGGTACAGAATTATTGGTGATGTAGCAGGAGGAAAAAAGGAAAGTGAGTATAAATATTTGAAAGAAGGTCTCCAAGTTCAATTAAATACTTAGGCCGGTCCCCAAATTAAATTAGATGCCAAGAAAGAGTTGGCAAGCAAAGTGTAGTCATTAAGTGCCATAGGGCTAGGAATTAGGCTGAACCTCACCACAGTGTGCCCTCTCTTCATGCCCCCATTCACCAGTCTATAATGGGGAACTTGGTAAAATGCAACTAAAAGATCACAGTCTGAACGAGAACAAAACAAGATAACTGAAATTAGATACCAAGCATAAACGCAACTGTGGCCAGAGATGTGGATTCCAAGGACAGCTCTACACTGGCCAAATGGGAATTTGCCCTCTGGTGTAAACTACATGCCAGACTCCTGGGGTTTGTTCTGAATGAAGATGCAGTGTTCAGAGATGAAAGAAAAGCAGACTGTAAATTAATAAGCTTGTAGTGTCCTTCAAATGAAGGTAGGCATGTGTTTGTAGCCTGGGTAATATCAAGAGTTTCAAGCTTTTAATAGAAGTTCCAGCATATAGGCACTGGGCTCATATGAAGTTTTGGCAGTTATTTCAGTGTATCAGGGGACTACAAACCAATGAAATCTCAGATTAGACTGTAGAGCAGAATCTTTAAATATCTAAGAGCTACAACCAGTGTTTCAGCATTAATTCAACATCTGTAATTTTTATTCATATATGTACATATACAGATATACACATATGTGCACACATACACACATATATCTTCTCTTTTTTTCTTTTTTGATTTGGTTGTTATGTGGTGTTTATATTAGTACAGATAATTGAGGAAGTACAGATAGTT